TGGACAGTTTTGGACATGTCCAAAACTGTCCAATCAAAATATTCAATTGGACATGTCCAATTGACAACACTGCCGTAGATAGCTATGCTAATTGGTTAATTATGGTTTGACTATAGTTAGTCCGATTCAATCCATCCGCAGTGGCCATTGCAATTGTTTCAAGTTTTTTTTTTTGATTCATCAAAATTAATTTATTGTACATCTTATTGTCTACTATACTATAGAGAATGACCTAGAATGACCTGGTAACAAGAAAACGCGATCAGGTGATCGATGATGTTTCCGAATCAATCAAATATCGAATACAAGTCGATCTTAAAAATTCGATTTGAGTCGATTATTAATTTCTTTTTTAGCCAAAGTCAATTTTATTTAAAGTATATTTTCATGTGCTAATGATGTGCCAATCATGCTTCATAATATCAATATAGTATAAAACCTCCGAATACGTAACAATAAAATTAGAGTATTAACGTTAATGCTCTTCATATTAAAAAAGCCTGTTTGTCTTGTAGTTCAAAGTAAAAAATAATGTTTCGTCATTAGAGCGCCAATTGATAGTTTATTTTAATACTCAGTTAAGTCGGCTTTATAAAAATCTAAGTCGATTAACCGATTTAAGTTGATTTTACAAGCATCGACTTGTATCACTACATATTGGAATTTTTTCAAAAGGAATATTTTTACATAAACCAATTTAGAAAAATATTAAGATCATTTTCTCGCTTAAAACACAAAAGTAGTTAGTTGTATTAATAAAATGTTGCTTTAAAGTTTGCATTTTTTTACCGATTTTCCGAAGATCTTTTTATTGTCAATTCTTTTCTCAGCACCTAGCCCATATATACGTATAAGATTTACGTATTAACGGTACATTGATGCATATAAATTAAAAACAATAGCAAATTGTTCGAGAGTATATATATGTAAAGGAGAAAATTTATATATCCGTAATAAAACTAAATTAGTTTAAAATTCACATGATATATCAATATGTAAAAAGTGTAAATACATATATATATATAATATATCGATATAGCGAACATAAATATGCGATAGTTGTGGACTTCAAATAAATTGAGATTTAAATGGCGTCCGAGGAATTTTTCTTCATAGTTACGCTAATTGGTTGAATATTTCAACTCTAGTTAGTCCATCTAAAATCTGTAATTGTTTACCTAAAAAAAAATCTAGGCAATGTTTACCTTAAAAAAATTAGGTTTAATAAAATACTTAAGCAAGTAACTGTAACTTAATTTCAAAAAGAATTACGTATTTAATTATTGATCGGATTATCATAGAAACGTTCGGATTCATAGCCAATACTTTTATGCCACATTAAAAAAAAATTTATATATATATACATGGTTACTGTTTTACACTATGTTACTATATAAATGCGACGAAGTGAACTCCGGTGGTTTAAATGTCTTTTGTTTAATTCTCTATACCACCTGTTCATTTTCCTGTTTGTTCCCTTTAAATAAAACGTAATTTTAGTTGTTCGTTTTATAGACAAATATTATGAAGGTTTATCGCCTAGTCCTTGCATTTCTTCCACTATTCTTATCCACAACTTCGCTTGTTTATTGCGACAAGTCGGCACAACAATATTTTGAGGAAGGGAATGAATTCTTTGCAGACCAAAAGTACGAGGAGGCAGTGAAAAGCTTTGTTTCCGCCATTAGTAAGTCATAGACTTTTTCAAAGAACCTTGCTCACTGTTTATGGCGCGCTAACATATACGTACTTTCTTGCCGCAGATCAAAATCCAAATGAATACTTATATTATTTTAAACGTGCTTTAACGTACTTGGCTTTGGAAAGAAGTTCCTCTGCCCTTCAGGACTTTACTACAATATTAGAATTGAAGCCCGATTTTGACAAGGTATTTATTTCTAATTAAAAAAAAAAATTTTCAACTTTAATTTTTTTTTTTTTTTTTTTCTAATTAAAAAAAAATTAAATTAATTTTAATTTTAATTTTTTTTTTCGATATTAGGCACTGTTACAGCGTGCAAAAATATATATAAAGGAAGGGTCATTAACCGAAGCTAAATCCGATTTAAAACAATATCTTCAAAAAAACGAACACGATACTGAAGGTCAAAAATCGGTATATAATCGTTTCAAACAATGCATTCTATGTAATTAAATAGTGACTAATAATTTTATTCATAAAAAAAAATAGCTTGTATCAGTTAATTCTGCAGAAAAATATATAAATACAGCTGAAGAGGCTTTTAATTCTGAGAGTTATGATACGTGTATAGAAAATATTTTCAAGGCGATAAAAATTTCACCACATTCTCCACGTCTAAGGTTAATTAGAGCACAATGTCATTTATCCAAGGGAGAAGTAGAAGAGGGGGTTCGGGATTTATCGTATGTGTATATTATTTACACTTATTTACATTACATATTTTATATAAATCTTATTAATTTTATTTTATTTTATTTTTTTAATAGTTCTGCCTCACAATTAAAGCCTGATGATCCGGTACTTTCAATGCGCCTTTGTTTACTCAACTATTTTTCTCTATATAACCCGGAGCAAGCGCTTCAAAGTCTTAAGCAGTGCCTACGTTATGATCCCGAACATAAAGCATGTAAAACACTTCATAGAGGTATTAAAAAGATTGAAAAAGAAGTGGAAAGAGTTAATAATGATATTGAGGGGCATAGATGGAAATTAGCGATAAACAAGTTGCTCGAACCATCTACTAAAGGTCTTATAAATGATGTTGAAGATGAACTTCAGAATTTGAATGAAGGTCGCCAACGAAACGAATTGTTAGTAAAATTATACGGGTGGACATGTAAAGCATACAAAGAAGTAAGTATACACGCATATATTTATCATTAAATAATATTGAAAATTAGTCATTAAATTTTATTATTTTATTATTTATATAGTTGAAAGAAGTTAAAAAAGCGTTGAAATGGTGTGAAAAAACCTTAAAATTAGATGAAAATAATGTAGAAGCATTGGTTAATCGGGCAGAAGTATTATTGGAGGAAGAAGATTATGAAGCAGCATTAAATGATTACAAAAAAGCTCATGATTTGACACAAGGACTGGACAATCGTATTAAACAAGGTTATGCAAAAGCTGATCGCTTGCTTAAACAATCCAAAAAGAAAGATTATTACAAAATTTTGGGTGTTTCAAGGAAAGCGGATAAGAAAGAGATCAAAAGAGCATATAGAAAACTGGCACAAGAATGGCATCCAGACAAATACAGTGGCGATTTATCTCAGGATCAAGTTGCCGTGAAAATGAGCGCTATAAATGAGGCTTACGAAGTCTTGAATGATGATGGTAAATAATATTATTGTTATTCAAATTTTATTTAACATTGCTTGTTTGAACATTTGTACTAATAAATAAAAACCTACTTTATTAGAATTGCGAGCGAGATTTGATAATGGCGAAGATCCAAACGATCCAAATAGTGGAGGTTCACCATTCTTCTATTCTGACAATAATCCATTTGCGCAACAATTTGGAGGATTTCCATTTAGTGGATTTCCATTTAGCAGTGGTGGCGAAAGCAGTGAAGGACAATATCAGTTCCATTTTAGTTTTCCTTAAGAATTCGCATATTATTCCATTGGTTTTTCACTTGAACAATTTTCTGCACTGTTTAGTAAAAAACATATACATTTAATATAACACTTTGTTATTGATCTGGTTGCTGGACACTAGCTCTTTATCTTTTCATAATCTTTAAAACTCAATTAGGGAACTTTTGATGGCCTATTTTTTTTTGCAACATCTATATCACTCTTGACATGGTCTTGACATGAAGCGTATGTTTATACAACACCAACATTGATATAACATTTAATGCACAATTTATTTAGAGTATTTAAAGTTACTTAAATCCTTTTGGGTGCATTATTCCGATTCTTCTGTTGATAAAAAGACCTATAATAAAGTATATAGTAACATAACAGGCTATATCTGATTCTAGAAACGACTTCTGTGTTAGAATATTTGTTAGTATATACTGTAGTGTTTTAATGATTCATCAGGGGTCTTAGATTTATTAATCAGATTTGGAAAACTTTTAAATAGGCAATCTAAAATTGTTATATAAATACGTATTAACATTAATTATTAATTTTATATATGGAAAATTACAATGACTCGTAAACAAAGAAATGCATGTCTTTTAGGCAACACATCTGCAATTTATTAATAAAATTATAGAATTTCCAATGATAGCCATCAATATAAATTCCAATAGTTCATTGTTGTTTTCCATAAATGTTGACAAAGACAAATAGGTTTCGATATGTCTAATAATTGTCCGAGTGTAGTCGTTAATCGGAGGACTATTTCTATAAATTCTGTTTTGATGAATTTTTAACTATCAAAAATGTAAGCTTTTGAATTTTCCGTCTGTCGTCATTGCATATTTGAGTAACACAACAGATCTCACTTGCGTTTGAAAACCGTTAAATGCACATATACTGATAACTTCAGAACTTATATCTGCTATATTTTTAACCTTTACATTAGTCTCGTTGGAACCATGAATGCTCCAGATCGCTTTGATTTGTTTTATCTCCCCCCGGGTGCAAAGAAGTAAGCATTTATAGCTTACCATGCCCTAGGAGTCAATCAATTCACTGAAAATTCCAAATAGGATTTAATAGATTTTACTTTTTAATGGCTAATTACATTTAGCAGACACTGTTGACATTTTTTTTTTCTGCTCTACGTTATTAAGGATGACCATCACACCAGATCCAAAAGTTGAAAATGGTGCAACCTTCGAAATCCTTAGAGAAGATCACACAATGGGCAATTTGATGCGATAGTAATTATTACATCATTTAATGACGCGTATGAGATCTTTGCTAACAAACAGGCCTTTTTTGGACTATAATTTGTATAATTCTGAAGGGTCATTTTGAATAGCAAAAATCCTATATATTCGTTACATTTACTCAACAGTTCATCTCAATTCAGTAAACTTTTAGAAGAACCACAAGTCATATTTGCTGGCTACAAGGTCCCACATCCTTTGGAACATAATGTAATTTTGAAAGTCCAAACTACTAATGATACTAAACCAGATATGATGGTGGCAAAGGCATTAAATGATCTTATCACAGAAGTTGGATACCTTAAACAAAAATTTGTGGTAGGTTATAGCATTAAAGATCAGATCAATAAAAGTTTATGATATTTGAACGGTATTTAATATACATAATTCGAAATAATAGGAAGAGCTTGGTCGTGCAAGAGCACTTGTAATACCCAGAGAACAGAAACCGATGGAAGAACAAACGCCATTAGGTATACCCTCGGCTAGAGACAATATTCCTATTGGAAATACTGGTGTGGGTGTAGATATGGACTTCTAAAAGATACAAAGAAAGTGCGCACGTAGCACGTAGTGATCCTAGCCAAATAATGAAGTAATCAGCTAAAACTAATTTTCTGCCTAGCGATCTTATAATGATAATATAATTCACGCTTTTGATCATTATAGAAAGTTGGTTTTTTTTTTTTGTGTACTTGTAACATCAAATATCATTCAAGTATCATTAGAGACATAGCGCGTAAGCAATGTACTGAGAGATGGGCAATTACTTATTGATGAGATTAGAATTAACTGCAAATATTAATCTTAGTGATAAAGGACTGATCTAATATATAAATTTTTTGGATTTAATTATATAAATTTTGTTCAAATTTTTGTTAATAATTGGTGATGCAAACGGCTGGCGGTTCACCGGGGTCACTTTCATTCCACCAAAAAAATTAAATAGTAAAATAAGTAAAAAACGGGGGGTCTGATATATGGGAGGATCTTATATATGCATCTGAGCTAATTTTTTTTAATTCACTAGACATTAGACAGTCAATTGACGTGTACATGTACCCTTAAAAATATATGTTAGAATTTGCGTCCAACTGATTACCGTAAAGTGTATGACTTATACCCCCCTGTATTTGTTCGTTATAAAAAAAATGTTTACAAATCAGCTATTGATTTGTATCCATAACAAATAACTTTGAAACATATAAAATCAACGCAAATACAGGGGAGATCCTCGATTTTGATTGGCTAATTGCGATGGTCAAAAAATTAGGCCGGAATTACTCAATTTTACTAATGAAATCACAGCCGCCCATTAAGTAAAATTGTTCCTGGGCAAATTTTACCATAATACGGGCTTATTTTTTAAAAATTTCTATTTTTGTAATGAAAAAATTAAAAAGTTAATTCCGACCGGAAACTAGTAAACAGTAATGCGGGCCAAAATTTTGAAGATCCTCATAACAAGTATATATTAGTATGCGGTTAGGTAATTGCAACTAAGTTTTCTTACACACAACAATATAAAAAAAAACCATTTTTTTCCACAAAAAAGTTGTTTTTACATATAAGCAAAAAAAAACAACCAAAAAATTCTTAAAATTAATATACAAAATGGTTACGGACCCTGACAAATTCTCTGACAAAATGAGGTTCCGTGGTTCTTTTTCATATAAAAACAGTAATATATACGTTATTACTTTGAATAATAACGTCCATATGAGAATTGAAAGGGTGAACGTGAATGTCGCGAGAATTTATTTTGTTGACGACCCTGGTAACGAAATTCCGATTCCAATTGGTATTACTCTCAGAGATACTCTCAACAATATTAATGAAACCCCATTGGTAATCCGTGGTATTGAAAGTTTTTTTATTTCGTGGATTGCTAACTATTCATTGTTTCAAAATGGTGTTGAAATTTGTGCTCTAAAAAATCAGAAACAGCAATCGGTTGAGGCAGTGGATGGTTTTATTTACTCTCTGATTCAGCAATAGTTATTATTATAATTTCATGTAATCTCTTTTCAGAAATAGAAATATAGTTTATATTAACAAGAAATCATGTGTATAAATAGTGTTAATATATATTTTTTTGTTGCAAAGTTAATAAAGCAAATTTTTTGGTCAATTTTGTATACAGTATATACAGTTCAATCAAAAAAGTATAAATCTAAATACGTATAAACAGAAAATAGCTGATCTTATTGCGGTTTGCATAATTTTGTGACCCCTATGATTAATTTTTTATATGATTAAAACTAAAGCCTGCCAATTTATCATGAATCTGAGTTTGTGTTAAGTAGGGTTGTTTAAACTTACCTGACAACATAATTTACATGTAAGTTACGCCGTAATTTACTGTAACTTACATGGCCCAAATGTAAGTTACAATTTATGTACTAAAGCCGGCCGAATCATGTGATAATTTCTACTGGCATTAAGTGAAATTTATACTACAAGTAATTTACGTCATTTATACGTAATTTACGTCATTTATACGTAATTTCTGGTTTTTTTTTTATTACAGTATTACAGTATTGAATCTCATACATAACTTACATAACTTACAAGGTAATTTACGTCAGTTACAATAAATTTACATGTAAATTAACAACCCTACTTGCACCTTAATTAGGGTATAATTTAGGCCAATAAATGTCGATCAGTTAATGCTGGCCAAAAAATCGACATCCGAGACAAGCGTCACAAACATTTATAGTTTATAAACAAAATTATTTTACAGAAAATTAATTTACAAGTATATTTCATTCACGACAGCTCATTTCACTGTCATGTTTTTTTATGAATTGCATTAATCTTAATTCTTCTAAATCTAACGACAATGACTAGAATTTGTGAAGCAAGCTGTTGATGAAATAAATTGTTTATGAAATGAACTTATTTGTGATTAACCGTTTGTAAAATAATTTGTATGAAAATTAACTTTTTATAAACTAAAATGTTTGTAAAGCGATTGCCTACGAAATGAGAAGCATGCATACTTAAGGCATTCTTATTCTAATCCTGAAAAGCGAAACCTGGATATGAAGTTTTTGTTGTGGTGATTTTAGTTTCAGTAATTTATTATATGTACGATCAGCGCTCTGGTAGTTGATTTGAGAGTGTTGCGGCTTTATGGGAGTACAATCCAGGCAAGGCCGACTTAACTCTAGTCGAAACTTTGGAACATTTGTACAAGAGGTCTGTCTATTAACATTTCGACGCGATTATTTTATTATCATTAAAACTATCTTTTAAGTACATTTCCCCATATTATGAGTTACCAAGCTCTTCCATTGAACTTGCAAACGTTGCTCTCTTTATCACAACTCACAACCTACGTTCACAACCCGAACATTAGTTGTGATCTCATGCACAATCATCGTGTATATGTGTCGCATAGTTTTCAAAGACCCCGTGAAAGGTATGCAAATAGATAATGAACTATATAGTAAGTTAAAGAGCGTAAAAGCAGAAAAGAAATATAGAATAATCGACTCATGTAATCATGTGATCGATCAGGGTCGTGCTGGTAATTGAGGTGTCGGAGAATAATTGAGATCGGGTATGATAGGTACCTTGATCATCGAATGCATGAATATGACGATTAGTTGGGAACAATTGAAAGTTTAATTAATTAATAACAAAGAAATAGTTAAAGTGTAATACAAAATATGTAATTGCTTGAAGGCATAAATAGTAAAACGTAAATAAAGAAATTAACGAGTTTTTGACTGGTAATATTGAATACGAATCATTAAAGCAGATACTTAGGTATTGTTTAGTGTGAAGAGCATTATTGATAGAGAAGGTGTGTGCCTCTAGTGCCAAGCAAGACTATAAATTAAATAAAACCTATCTGGGGTAGATAACAGTCACTAAGGTGATTGTCTAATTTATTGACAGAGAAAGATCTGGGTAAGCAAAGTTAGACACCCAACAAGGTGTATAAAATTCTTATATATAAGACTTATATAAGACATTTATATAAAACTTAATTGGCTTATATGTTCTACGTTAGACCCTCTCAATGATAATGATATTAAGATCAAACAGTATATAGTTTAAAGACTCAAAAGTAATAAATAAATAAGAACAATATCAAATAAGAAAACAACAAATAAATAAGCACAATAATTTATAAGAAACATTTAAATAAGGACATTAACAAACCAAAGACATTAACATAAGGTCATTAGATAGTAATAAATAAAAACATTATGATAAACAAACATAAGAATATAGAAACAATCAACCATGTTGACCCAAGATTTCACCAAGCCATTTTACCATAAATATGAAGATAACATAGTGGATTGCCTCTTTGATTTTGAAATATATGTTGAATTGAAACAATGGAATGATAACAAAAAGAAGGTAATTAGTATTCATGTGGCAGAAAAGGCAAGAGGATAGATCCATGAGCAAATAAAGAAAGCAGCCTCGTGGACTCTAAAATCAGATATGGAAAAGGCCATGAAAACAAAGGTTCATATAAGAGAAAAAATTGTAAGATTAATGAAAATAAAACAAGAACCAAATAAATCTGTAGTTGAATATGTTAACAAATTTGAGTTATTTGCTCATGTGATAAAATATAAAATCTGTAACAGAAAAAATAAAAATAGTTCATAGTAGGCCTAAGAAAAGAATACTAATCAAAGGTAGATAAACATTATTTATGCAATTACTATGAAGCAGTGGGTCTGGCTACAAAAATTAAAAGATATAGCAAAGACAATAAATTTAATCTACAAATAGTGAATAAGACATTGTTAAAAAAAAGCAGTGAAGATATGAAAACAAATGTTGAAGAACTAACAAAGGTGATAGAGGCTTTAAAAATATCTTGTGTAGAGAAAAAGCCTGATGATAACATCTAAAAAATAAAAGATACAGTAAAAGAGTTAACAAAGGCAATAAAAGATTTAACAAAAAAGAAAAATATACAAACCAAAATGAATGAAACACTGGGCTTCAGTGTTATACTTGTTAGAAAGACAGCTATATATTATATGACTGTTCAAAAAAAGCTTTGAAGAATCACTTTGTTAATAAGTATAAAGATTATCAAAAAAAAGAACAAAGCTCAAGTAAGGAAAATAAAAAATAAAAAGATCTAGATATATAACTTATTGATCTTACAAATAAGGAATTGAACAATAATGATAAATATCTAAAGTCTAAATTAAAAACAGATAAAAACAAAAACTAAAATGAAGTTTTAAATGATAAGAAACTTAGGAAAAAGAAAATATATGAGTGAAGCAAGTGTTGAACAATCTAAAAAAAGAGAAGATTATGAAAAGTTATTAAAATAAAGCCCAATAAATCATCATCATCAATAATTCAAAAAGAAATGGTAAAAGCTTAGTTATATATATATCTCTATCAGACTTAGCAGAGAACTTGAACATTATAAAAACTATAGCCAACTTGAAATTTGACGTATTACTTGGACAACTATTTAGGTGGTTTTCTAAGGCAAAAATGAAATCATAAAAGCTTTGGCACAAAAAAGAAAGATATTAGTATTATAAACAATAACATTAGATTGTACTTGGTAAAAGAAAATAAGATACTAAAAAATAAAAATAAAATAGTACTAATACAGACTACTTTAATAAATGAAGATTTAGTAAATATACTAATTAACCCAGATTCTGATTAAACCTAACATATGAAAATTATACAAAAAAAGTGGTCTCAGATAGAACCAAGCATATGGAAAAGAAAGAATAGCAGATGATAGTATAAGTGAATTTATAAAATATATTTTGAAGGTAGAAGTTAAAGTAGAAAGTGTTAAGATAAATCAAAGATTCTATATAATGTAATCAGCAAGCTTTGATGTATTATTGGGTATGCTATGATTAGCTAGTACACAGTATAATTTTTGGCAAAAAAAGAATGAATATTGGTATATAGTAACGTTACCAGAAAGACAAACACCTTTTATTGTCTTAGAAATACTCTAGAGTTAAATTGAGAATAATGAAGATACTGATGATGAAGTAATAGATAAATATAATGATAAAGATGATGAAGTTAATTAAGTGATAGCTGTTAAAAGGTTGCAAATAATGGAATATGAAAAACAAATTTTGGAGAGAGAAAAGAAATTACAATTTAAAAATAAATGATAAGAGATATATAGTTAATATTTAGACAAAAGTAAAAAAAAAATCATGATAAACATAACATGTCAGGTGATAAACAAACCTTACAAAAGAGCAATAAAAAATTAAAAAATCGGAGTAGACAAAATGTATTGTATAATAATTGAAATTACAAAGATAGAAATTGATAAAATTAGCAAAAAATATAGTATTACAAAAATTAACTATGAAGAATATAGAATTGCTCAAGTTTGGGCCAAACTTATCAATTAAGAAAAGCAATGTATTATAAGCTATTTATTAAAAGAGGTTTCAAAGATATTTGCATTTAACTTGTCTAAATTAGACTATATTGATTTGATCAAGTATGAAGTAAGGACTGGTGAAGCAAAAATACTAGCTAAAAGATTAAGGCCTATTCAGATTAATAATTCAGAAAAGGCTTAGCTATTCAAGGAACACTTGAAGTAAATGATTAAGTATGGTTTGTTGGAAGAGAATAATAAACTATATATATATTATTGTTTTCTAGTAGACAAAAAGAATAAAAGAGCTAAATAAATTTAAGCAATAGGAAATATGAAGCTACTAAATGAATTTATAGTCAAAGATAGTTACTCACTTCTGATAATTAGAAATATATTAAAAAAGGCTGCAGAGTACAAGTGGTATTCAAGTGTCAATGTGTTTAAAGAGTATTGGCAAATATATATACATGAAGAAAACCAAGATAAGGTAGCAGTATTAACCACACTTGGAGTTCTATAATATATAGTAATATGTATAGATTTAAGAAATACTAGTAAAGCCTATCAAAGATTAATAAATATAATCCTAAAGAGTGATAAATAAAGAAATATGATAGTGGTGTACCAA